TTTCCCTGTCACTTGAAACTCAAGACAGAGATGTGAGTGTGTTATGCCTTCAACTCCTCACATTTTACACTGTAAATGTATTCGAACAGTTTGCATGAATAAAGCTTTGTGCCGAAATACTTGTTTTTGTGAATCACTTGCATTTCAAGAGTATACAAACACATTCAATAAATGTTTTTGAATATGTCCTTTAGATAAAGACCAGTTACCTTTCAATTTAACAAGTGGAACTTCATAATCTAAAGTGCAAGGGACATAATTCCTCACCACCACACACATCCACACACACACAGAGCCTTTTGTACTCCGCATTTTTTTTTTCTAACCTCTTTTCTCTCTCTTAGCAAGCTTAGTTCTGAAACAGAAATATGAATCCTGGCAAGCAATAGATCTGGGAGAGGTTTGCTGGGAGGATTATCTGATCCTCAATCAAAGGTTTTTGGAAACTTATTTAAATTCAGGGTGTCCCAAAAATGTATACACACACTTTAAATATTCATAAAAGCAGTGTTTATTAAAATATCATTCATCTCCAAAATTGCTCTATCAGCTGTTAAAGTGTGTATACATTTTTGGGGACACCTGTATATTCAATCTGTACTCTTTTATGGATAGTAATTAATAATTATAAAGTAAAAGAACTCAAAAATGCTCTAGGAATTAAAATATTAAAAAATCCCTTACATTTTTAATAATACCAGTTTCTTTAAACCTTAACAAAAAGTATTCATTCATAAAAACACATTTTTTTATTTACGAAATCCAGATTTTGACTTGGAGTTGTACTTCATTATTACTGTTCCACTAGTAAGTACTCTTCTAAACAATACGCTTTTGTTGAACATTATTAGTTGCAGTAAATGGTTACAATAACTTACTTTCCACATCAAGTCCATGAAGAATACATGGTTGAAACAGGAAGGAAAAAATAATTATGTTCATCCTTGCTTTTACAGTGTATTTCCAGATGATCACTCCCCCCCCCCTGCCCCTCTTAAATTTATTTAATTTCTTGGGATCATAATTTGCCTCCGATCTGGTAGTCCACGTGTAAACTTCCAACAGATGTCAATACTTCTAACTAGAATTGATATTTAGTTGAATGTACAAACAAAAAAAAACCTCCTCAATGACAGTTAATCCCTTTGTTCAATTAATTCAGATTAAATGCATACACACTAATACACCATCTCTCTTTAAATTGGTTATTGGTTTAATCAAAATCCTTATGTCTTTTAAATTTGTCTTACATCCAGAGACACCCTTTTTACCCCCATTTGCTCCTCCATTTTGTTATGATTCAGTGGGCAACCTCATAAGTCCCATGTGCCTAGCGATGATATAATACCTCTAACGGACACAGGGAAAGAAAATAGAGTAATATCTATGACCCTGAATAACTTAAAGCCCACTCGGAAATCTGACATAAAGGCACTTGGAAGAAACTACAAAAGCTTAGCTGTTTGTAGGAACCTTTACGTGAACCAAGCTTAAGCTCTAATTGAAAGAAGCAGAAGAATATTGTTTTAATTATGGCTGTACTCCAAGGTTGCATGACTTTAGACAACTAGGTGACTATCTCTCAGGATTCGGTGCATTTGAATGGGCGCTGCCGGGTGGTTCTGCTACATGTGATGTAGTTTGGGGTCTGGGGGTTGATTGGCTGCACCAATCAATACCCTCACATGCTGGCAGTTGGCACTGAGTGTCAGCTGTAAGTTCATCTGGGGAGTTGGTTACAGACCCGGGTCTCTACATGGCCCCTCCATGTGACCTGAACTTCTCTCAAAACATGGTAGTGAAACCCCAAAGGAACCTCCCAAAAATCTGTGTTCTAAGAGAAAGAAAACAAATCTGCCAAATCCTTTTAAAGGCCCATTATTGGTACAGCCTCACTTCTGTAATCGTCCAGAACCAGCCCTGAATCAAGGGACGGGGTTAGAGATAAAACTGACACCTCAATGAGAGATTTGAGGAAAAAACAGAAGTGTGGCCATTTTTAACCCAGTATGGATATTCAAAGGTACATAGGTAGAAATTCACAAGGAAGGCTCAACCAGATTAGACAGTAGAAAATAGGGAGTAGGAGGAAAGGTTTCAGAGATTGTTGAGTCAAATTATTCAGTTACTACAAAGATAGTAAATTAATTTGCACCGCCCTGGCCAGGTGGCTCAGTTAATTGAAGCACAGTCTCATACACTGAAAGTTGGTGGGTTTGATTCCCATTCAGGGCACATACTTAGGTTGCAGGTTCAATCCCCAGTCGGGAGTGTATAGGAGGCAACTGTTAGATGTTTCACATCAGTGTTTCTCTATTTCTTCCTTTCTCTCTCTCTTCTCTCTCTCTCTCTCTCTCTCTCTCTCTCTCTCTCTCTCTCTCTCTCTCTCTCTCTCTCACACACACACACACTCTCTCTCTCTCTCTCTCCCTTCTTCTCCCTAAAAAAAAAAATCAATAAAAAACATATCCTCAAATGAGGATTTAAAAATAGGCTTATGACTTCATGCGCTAGTTATAAGAAATAAGTACTAGCTATGTAATGTGCAAGATGATGACTATAGTTAACACTGCTGTGTAATATACAGAAAAAATCTTTAAGAGCATATATCCTAAGAGTTCTCATGGCAAGGAGAATGATTTTTCTTCTCTTTCTATTGTATGTATGTGAGATGATGAATGTTAACTAAATCAGTTGTGGTAATCATTTTACAATATATGTAAATCAAACCATCATGCTGTATACCATAAACTTATATAGTGATGCATGCCAATTCTTTCTCAATGAAACTGGAAAAAAAAAAAAAACAGGTTTCTTACTTCATTTTTTAAAATACTGATAGCCCTGGCCAGGTGGTTCATTTGGCTGGAGCACTGTCCCATAAACCAAAAGGTTGGGGGTTCACTTCCCCCCGTACCTAGGTTGCAGGGTACATATGTAGGTTGCAGGTTTGATCCCTGGTCAGATTGTATGGGAGGCTACCAATCAATGTTTTTCTCTCAGACCCATGTTTCTCTCTCCTCCCTTCTTGTCTCTCTAAAGTTGATTTTAAAAAATACTGATAACATGATTGGTGCTTAATTTGAGAGAAAATATTCACTCATGATTTTTTCCTATTAATAAGTATTTTAAAATTTAATAGTATAAACTTTACATCTGAAAAGACAATATGGGGAGAAGGTCTGTTGTTTCATAAACCAAAGAAAGGTCATCAGCAAATATCTTTGAGGTTTGTGTTTTTACCCAAACACTATACATTCACAAACTAATAAGCATGTATTAATAAATATAGGAACAAATAAGACTGTAAGATAACATTAAAATTAATTTATTTTAAGTTTAAAATTAGTATATTTGCTACATCAAATAGTAATATTAAAATTTATCAATAAAACCATAGCCTATTCTACCTTGAATTTTAATATAGTAGGTTTTATTTTCTTTTCAATATGAGTTTTTTTAAAGATTTTATCAGGAAGAACAGACACGAGAACATATACATGATGTGTCTAGACATGGAAATATATTCATTTTTTTCTTTTATCCACTAATGATGACTGAAATATGAAAGTTTCCACAGAATAAACTATTAGAATATTTTGTTATTAGCCTAATTTTGGCTAAGTTAACTCAGTTTGGGGGCAGGATGATTCTGCAATGAAAACAGGGAGGTGAGTATATTTTATAGCAATTTTCATAAGAGTAAATTTAAATTATACAATTCATTTTGGGTAATTAAATGGTTACATATTACAAAAACTTTCTTCAATTTTTTCTAGAATTTTAATATTTGCCTCTACAAAATAGGGAAAAATAAGAGTCAACTTAAATATTAAAATGTGGTATTATCTAGTCTCTATTATTGCTGAAATTCTTCACCAAGAAAGCCCCCAGTTGATTGCTATACATATATATGCAAGTGCTATTGGGCAGAGAATAGGAAGATGAAAACTCTTACAGAATTTTCAGCACAGGAAGTTAAAAAGTGTTTGCAATAAAATGTGGTGCAAATTTAAAAGTGACAAATACTAAAAGAAAAATAAGGTTATTTCTTCTTGGACTAAATATTTTCTAACTAGACAAGATCTTTACGTTATGGTATTTAGATTCTTAGTAATCAAATTTACCTCTAAATTGTTTTTCTACTAATGGAATATAGCATGATTCAGCTATTTTTTCTTTCCCTCTATGTTTAGTTTTTTATTTAGTACTTACTGTATGTCAGGCATTTATATAAGCGTTTCTTAAGAATTGTCAGGTAATTTTTAAAGTAATTCTATTGCATAGGTTCTATTATTATCTCCACTTAGTAGCTTAGAAAACTAAGGCAAATAGATAGTAATCATCTTGCTCAAATAAGTGACAGTAAGAGGTAAGGCAGAAATTTAAATCAGGCATTTTGCTCCTTCATATTCCAAGATCTTAACTACTACATCATCTTTTCCTAAAATCTTATCTGTTCTCCTGGAAAAAGATGTAATTTTTCCTTTTCCTCTTCCTCTCTCTCACATTGTATTTTTATCTTGTGAGAAGATTAAAGGAGCTAAACAACAGAGCCTAGTTTGTGGGAGATGATAGTCTAGTTTCACAACCTCAAAGCCTCTCTACTCATGTTTTGCTTGTTTTGAAGTATAAAAAAGAAGGTTGTGCTGAAGGTAAAATTACATAATCAACTCTTCCTTTTTACGTATTATATAAAGGTAACTACATTTTAGTTTGCATGGTTATAATTTTATATAAATCACACATCAGATTTCTGTTTAGATTTAACCTTTCTCTTCTCAAATGCAAATATTTGCACCTTGTACCTTTTTTTTTAAGGTTTTTAACCTATATTATACCTTTAAAATATGTATGTTGAACAAATAAACTACATCCATTTATTTGAGAGAAAAGTCTACCGTTTGCTTGGAATGATGAAATCAAGTGCAATAAAGTTAATAAATGTAAAGGAAATATTTTTCATAA